GTGCTTGAGGTTGCTGGGAGGTGGTCTGCAACCCCTTACATACCACTGCGACGTTCGCCCTACGACAAGCCAGCAAACGCCGGTGCTCGGTACAAGACGTACCGAAATGTTCTTATCCGCCCTGACGACCCCCCCTACCAAAACCAACGGTGAGGCACACAAACTTGTCGAAAATGCCCCACGGCCACTTGCATCGGGGTTCTTTTCTACTTGTTTTTCCCCCGCATGCCAATGAAACCGCCCCGAAATTTTGCTAGTTTCACCCCCCCAAAATTATTGTAAGTACCATCGTATCCTGGTGTCTTCTTGATTATTGTGGTTCACTTGATGAAATAATTGACTTGGGTGAGGCCTCCGGCCCTCCCAGTTGGGGGACTATGTACCCAAACTTTCCCTGGTGTACACATTCGTACCCTCTGCTTCGACACAAGACCACACGGGGACCGTGGTACTGCTGTCTGTACACTTGCTCGCACTTGCTCGAGCCCAACTGCCGGGCGCCAAGCATACAACACACCATTAGCCAATCGGATGGGACAAGTTCCGGCACGAGGCACTACTAGCTGCAGACCCCCCCCCCATGCACTCCTTGAAGTCGGTGGTCCTATGTGCGCACTTCTACAACGTATCTTCGACGAACCAAACCCTCTCAAAAGGAGTGTACCACAGAGGCGGACAGGAAAACTAGAGAGAGTTAAAATCCGTATGAATATAACCCATCGGCCGCCTCGCATCCACCACCGTCCACTTCTCCCTTTGGCCTGGCCTTGTCCGCTGGACGTCCGGCGCACAACCTTGCACTCCCTTTGTCGGAGTCGCCTTTACCAGTGTCCTTGAACTGGTACCGTTGGTCACAACGTTACGAATGGTACCAATCGAAGGGCACTGGCAAGGGCAACTTCGAGAGAAAGGAGAGCAAGTTCGTACACGGGATGTCCAACCGACAAGGCTAGGCCAAAGGGAGAAAAGGGGGGGCGGTGGATGCGTGGGTTGTAGGCACATGGATTTATCTCTCAATAGTTTCCTGTCCTCTACGTTGAGAACGGTACCAATCCGTCGAGAAAGACGTGCAAGCTTGTACACCGGATGCCCAAGCGGAAACGGAAAGGCAAGGGTGTAAGTGGGGGCGGCCTGGGCACGATGCGGGCGGTGGGTTCTCTAGGCATAGAATGATCTTTCTCTGTTTTCCTGTCCTCTAGAGTAAGGCACATTGTTCTGAGAGACTTCTTGTTAATCCACGATAGAAAGGCGAACGAGACCACGGGGTTCAAAGTAGCTTGGGGAGTTCTGCAGCTGATGGCATCTCGTGCTGGAACTGGTCCCATCTGATGGACTCCCAATTTTACCACCGCGTTCCTCGAAAATTCAAAATTCCACCTCGCGCAAACAGCTCGTTTCTTGTTGTTTCTACGATAGGAACAAACAACAACGTGGCATGGTGCCTCCCTGCAGTGCGGTCTTCAGGAGAAAACATTTCATTTCCTCTCTTCATCTCTTCTCACCTTTCCTCATACACACTCCGAAACTGCCTCTGCCTCTGTCTATCTGTCTCTTCTTTGTCTATGTCTCTCTATGTATCTCTCTATGTCCCTCTCTCTCTCTCTCTCTCTCTCTCTCTCTCTCTCTCTCTCTTCCTCCCTCTTTCTCTGCCGCTATGTGTGTGTCTACACATGTGGTACGCGTGTCCGTCTCTGTCTCTCCCTCCCCCTCCCCCAACTCCCTAACTCCCCTCGTCCCCGGGACTCACTCCTTCCACGTGGTTCCGGGCCAGCAGATCATACAGCAGGTCCACCGGCCGCAGCCGCGTCAACACCTGCAGCCCCGCCCCGGTCAAACAAAGCAGCTCCCTCCGGTCGCTGTACGGCTGTACCCCAAGCTCCGGCAGCTGCACCATCCCCCCGACGTCCCTCGCGTTCAACCCCCCCGGGAATCCCGCGGAGCCCCCCGGCGACGCAACCAGGGGCGGCGACGGCGCCACAGGCCTCGACGCGTAGCGGCTGCTCCTCTGCCACGCCTTTGCACGCGACACCACGCCCCCCACGACGGCGCCGGAGGTACTACGCCCGCCTCGGACTACGGCCCTGCTGCCGCCACCGCCGCCGCCGCCGCCGCTGCGGCTAGCGCCGCCGCCCCCGTTAGCGGCGGTGGTGCCGTTATTGTCGGACGGGGACGGGGCACCGGACAACGCCAGGAGGGCGCGGACGCGGCCAATCTCCGGGTTGTCGGCCAGGGTCACCGGCCGCTCCGAGATGGCCCACACTCTTCCCATCGCCTGCTGCTGGCGGCCGGCGGAGTCGCCCATCTCGGTGACGGCCTCTCTCATGGACGGGTGTTCCTCCTGCGGTAACGGGGTAGCGTGTGCGTGTTCAAGGACGTGTGGTTCGGGGCAAGGAACTTGACAAAGTGTGTCGAGAAGGTCGAGGAGGCGTCATTCCAAGCAAGCAACTTGAACAACGTGTGTTGAGAAGGTCGAGTACGTGTCGTTCGAAGCAAGAAACTTACACAAAAAAAAGTGGGGGGGGGGGGGGGGTATGGGTT